TACACCTAAACTTGTGAAATCTGATGTACACTTACTAACCAAGATAATTCTAAAACTGTTCAAAACAAAGTAGACCACATCAGACCACACAGGAACACACAAAATAAGTTCATTCCAAAAGCATTGCAATTTCTGCGACAAAAAGGAATCTCTGTTAATTTGATTAATACAAATGTAGTTTATTTAAAGTTGGATTTGGTTGGAGGAAGAAAGCAGCAAGATATTTATTTCATAAATAAAATTCTCTTAATCTGTAACTGGGTTTCAAACAGCATTGAAGTTTTAACTTGAAGTTCAAACACCTTCACAAATTTGTGGTGCAAAAAATTTTGGAAATGGTCGCTCAATATTGTAACTTAAATTATTCTGACCAATTGAAACTTTTCTCTCGTTCTCATTTTCCAGGTGACACCAGAGCCATGGCAGCTGCACAGTCTGCTATAACATTTGCAGTGTGCATCCTCATGATAACAGAGCTCATACTTGCCAAGAAGGACTACTATGATATACTGGGAGTGCCCAAAGACGCCACTGAGAGACAGATAAAAAAGGCCTTCCACAGGCTTGCAATGAAATATCACCCTGACAAGAACAAGAGTCCGGATGCGGAAGTGAGATTTAGGGAAATTGCTGAAGGTACAGTTGATTTTTTTTTTTTTCCGGCATTTAAATATTCATTGTTTACCCACATCAGTATCAGAATCTCTGCTTTGTTGGCCAAGTATATATACACATACAAGAAAATGTATTATAGTTCTGCATTGCTTTCAGTGTACTTACATAGAAATAGACATACAGCTAGAGACGACAACAACAAAAAAACCTTTTCTCCCTTTGTCACCTGCAGCTTATGAAACTTTATCAGATGAGACCAGAAGAAGAGAATATAACAAGTTTGGCGACACCTCTGCCTACTTCACCGGACAGACTCAACCCAGACACAGAGAGGGAGCCCACCAGCCTTTCAGCTTCAGCTTTGATGACATTTTCAAAGACTTCGACATATACAGCCAGAACAGACACGCCCGTCACAGAAGACACTTTGATGAACACTCCAGGTCCCACAAGGAGTCCCACAGCAGACACAAGAGACCATCTCAAGGAGGCTTTGGAGCAGGAGGTATCTTTGATGACATGTTTGAAGACATAGAGAGAATGTTTACTTTTGACAGACACGCCAAGCAGACTGAAAACAGGTTTAATGGTGCATCAAAACAACACTGCAGAACAGTGACGCAACGCAGAGGAAACATGGTGACCACGTACACAGACTGCACGTCACCTTGAGATACAAAGACTTAAAATTGCCTTTATGGAATACAATACTGTTGCATTGATTGGGTAACTGAAAGCCACTTAATTCAGATGTGAAATCTGAACCGTGACATTTGAATTGACATTCAGGCACAGAATGACAAGCACTGACTACACAGTTTACCAAGCTTAGGTCTACTTTGAAATGATTGTAGTACTTTTCCAGTTCTTGTTGAAGTAACCTGTACTACAAGCACCTTCTTTTGATAGTTGAACTTCAAAACATTGCTAATTTTACTGTTTTAATACATAAAACAGTCCAGGCGCACAAACCTGTTTTGTTTTCACGTTTTGTTCACCCACCACTCAGTTTTTGTAGAGTTATTGGTTCCTTTTGTGTAGGTTCTGCTATTGTAAGTCTCAGATCACAGCTGAGGGCAGAGACAATAGCTTCTAGCAGAGTTTTGCTTATGGTTGTCAAATGGCGAGCAATGTTAACAACAACCCGGGACCCTGCACACGTTCCTGTGTTTAGTGTTGGATTATAGCAAAGCGTTGTCGATACTTTTCAATGTAACACAGGCTCCAAGTAAAGAGCCACAAATGCTGTTGTTTTATAACTTTTCATACAACTTGGACATCAAAATGCTAAATGCCAGACTCAATCAACTGAGTGGCCTTGATACTTTATTTTGTGTGCCACCAAGTGTCAAGGGATATCTTTACTAAGGCCACCCTTAGAACAATAAAGTCACAGATGTTTGAGATATTTTATGGATTTAAATTTTTATTTCATGAAACTGAACCACGACTCCTAAAATATAGGTATTGGGCCACTTAAACTGTAAACTATAATATGTACCTGGGGTTCTGTGACTCCTCTTTCTAATAATCATCAGAAAAGTTTAAGACAACCATTCTGTGCAGTGTTGAATACAGCTGTCCATTTTAATTGCAATTGGTATTTTGCAGTGTAAAATATGTCTGTTGCCGTTAAGATCAAGTGTTAAGAGCGCTGCAATGCAAAGCTGAAGAAATAATTACATACAGTATATGTGCTAAAAAGCATTGATGCTCTTTACATGATACAACACTCAATACATTCACATTTCCTAACACTCGTGTTACCTCATTCCTGGAACATGCTCCTCTGACATTTTGCTGGTCAATATTTATTTCTTATATTCATATCGTTGTTGTAAAATGTCCAATAGCACTTTAAATGTCCTGTTTTATGTTTGTTTTTCAAAGAATGTGTTTCTAGGAATAAAATATATAGAACAAATTGATATTATTTCCTGTGTCTTTTGTTACCTAAGAATGAGAATGATTTTTTTTGTAATGAATTGATTTCTTTCTTATGGCTTACAATATATCATTCTCTCGTTTGTTGTGTGTCCCGCTGATCATTTGTTGATACAGCTGTTATACAGTATCTTTATCTAACTGCCATATTGCCTGTCCATTTAAAATGTGTTAAATAATAAAGATTTCCTTATTGCATTAATTATTTTATGTTTTTAACTTTACTAAACACATACAAATGCTATAAGGCTAACTTGATTTAATTAAATGTAATCAGCAAAAAGCCTAAAATTTAAATATATGTACGATTTACGTCTGGTGATGAGTTTATTATGTTTCTTTCTTTCGTGTGTGTGTGTGTGTGTGTGTGCGTAAATCTTAAAGTCTATATAATAAATGAGGTCACTGTAGCGTGCACATTTCATTCACGGAATTAACGTATAAATATTTTGGTATTCACCATAGTTACTGTTTGCGTAAAGGAAAAGAAGAAATATCTTGATTTCCATTGGTTCAACAGCAGTTAGACAGCATCTGTAGGAAATGTAGTTCAGACAGGCTCAAACCCTGATCACCGAGCAGTTGAGCCTGACTCTAGCGGACTCAAACTCCCAGAATGCATCACCGAGCAACTGAGTGCGCAGTTGTCTGTAGCTCCAGAGACGCCAGCTATTAGCCGAGGGACATTGAATGACTTTGTCCGCGAGTGTGTGTGTGTGTGTGTCAGGCTGAAGAGAGCACACTCTGTGGTCAGCAGCGGAGCTAATGGAGGCGCTAATTCCTGTCATCAACAAACTGCAGGATGTGTTCAACACGGTGGGCGCAGACATTATTCAACTGCCGCAGATAGTTGTTGTGGGAACTCAGGTGAGTAACGTCACTCTGCTCAGAGGTTAGCATCCACGTTAGCCTGCGTCACTTACTCACTCAGGCTACTTTCATCTTCACAGCGCTGTGTTCGTGCCTGTCCCACTCAGGCACTGTAGATGTTAACCCGCAGGGTGACTCAACTTACACCTAACATGTTTACGCCCGTCAAATCTTCCTCGTTAACGAGCTACAAAGTTAGCATTAGCTACATGTGAGCACACAGATTGTCACAGGTCTCTGAGAAATGAAATGAAAGTCTGATTTATTTTTTTAAATATAGAACTGGGCAGCCACTGTTTCACTATCAATTCATCTGGTGATCAGTTTATCTGTCAAACCTAAAAATAGTGCGAAGACATTTTGCTGAAATGCATGTGATCTTTTCAAGAGTCTTATTTTTATTTGTTTCATCTGACCAAAAGTGCAGAAAGACTAAACTCAACCAAAACTAAAGATTTAGTTGATAACCAAGCATCACATGTTTGTCTTTTAAGCCCTGAAATCTGAACATATCTGTATTTTTACACAATTTTAGCTTGTAAAATGACTGAAACATTGAATGAATATGTTACAAATAGATTGACAATAATGTTAAATTGATCAAGTGATTAATAATTTTAGCTCTAAGCAAACACATCCCTCTCCTCATTTTATTAAACATGACCAAGCATCTGTCTGCAAAACATCTAAAACATTTTTTAGAGATCTTATCCATTCATGCACACAATCAAATAACTGACACTAAGATGCCAGTATGTTAAGTACCTCAAACTAGAGCTGCAACAAATAATCAATACGTTTATTGATTATCGGCTATTTTAATTGAAGCTTCATAATTGAACAACTATATATTTTTTCTGACTCATCAAACATGTTTGTTTGTTTAAGCTTCTCAAAGTTGCTGCTTTTTGTTGTCATTATCATTCAACTTTGGACTGTTGGCTATAATAAAGTTAGTGTTTAAATTAATCAGCACATGCATCAATAATTAAACAAATTGTTAGTTGCAGATCAACATCTAAATATAACTAATAAGCAGCCCTGCTGTAAATCTTACCACAAAGCTTAAAATGTTGAGGTTTTGTTGATGCTGTTTTATTAAATGATATTTAATCACTCGTAGTTATATGATAATTACAAACAGCTCACAGTATATACTATATACTATAGTATAGTAGTGTATAGTCACTAATGACTACAAACTTGAATCAAGACCTCTCTTGTTCAGTTTTACCCTGACCACCTTACTACCCTAATTGGTTTAAAGTGGCAGGTTTTGTCCAACATGTTTACTTTTACTGGTCAGCTAATCGGATGTGACTGTCTCAGGCCGTTTGGCAGTCATCTGAGGAGCCAGATCTGCAAAGACCTTTAGTTTAGAACTGTAACTGTCTGATATCAGGTGTCAAGTATTAGTAACTGGTTGTTTCTCTCGTGTCTGTGATTTGCCAAATTAAAGCAGTCAAAATATGAGATTTGTAGCCACATAGAAAGTCACAGATTACATTTTGAGCCTTCCTCTTCTACTGAGGAATGTAAGGTGCAGTTCATTAAAGAGGACTCTCCCAGCCAAGTGAGTTAAGCGAGTTATTTAAGTTCACCAGATCTCATTAGAGGTTACTGTTCACGTTGATCAAGAAATGGCCGCCTAGTGGCACCAAGTGATTGTCTGGCTACATACTGTACGGATACTGTAAGTTAAAGCAACCATTACGTTTGTTTTGACAAGAATGTGACATTTAGCACTTCAGCCACCTTCTCAATGTCCTTATGTCCAAAAGTAGTACCACATAACGGAGCTAAATTTAGACTCCAGACTCAGTCAGCTCCTCGAAACCTTTGTGCAGTATCTCACAAAGTGTCATTCTGAGCACTGATTTCTCTCCTCGGTGATTCAGTCTCTTCTTTTGTTTTTTCTTATGATGATGTTGTTGTTGTTGTTGTTATCGTCCACAGAGCAGTGGAAAGAGTTCTGTCTTAGAGAGCCTGGTTGGTAGGGACATCCTTCCGCGTGGCACTGGCATCGTCACACGCCGGCCCCTCATCCTACAGCTGGTTCACATTGATCCAGAGGACCGCAGGAAAACCAACGAAGAGAATGGTATCATCACTGTGACCTCTTCTTCTTCTGTCTCTTTGGTGTTGTTTGGTTTTAGGTGTCAGTTGGATGAATAGTCAGTATTTTGATGCATATGTATTATATATGCACTTTGCATAGTAAGGGGATTTCATTTCAGCCCCCATCCGAACATGTGGCAGTTAACTGATTAATCAGTAAATCGAATAAACACATGTGGATGTGCCAGTTATGAAATGGATCAAAGTAGGTTTGTAAATTAAGCAGATTCTAAGTTCTGCATTATTTTTTACCTTCACTGATCAAATGCATTAATGTTCTAAAAATTTAAATTGAAGCAATTGTGTTATGAAAGGAATAGCTCTTACAAAGTAAAAACTGATATCTTCCACTTCTGACTGAAAAGAAGCAGGAAGCATTCATTTAAAGTCTTTTTGAGGAGCGGTGATGGTGTCACTGTGTCTCTGCACTGCCACAGAGAGCCATGCAGGACCTGCAGATAGTCAGGCTAACCCTTTTGTCTCCTGTCGTCTCTCTTTAACCACAGAGTCCAAGAAAAATGGACGCCTTTACAGAGGTCTCCTTTTCTTGTTCTATTTCCTATTGTGTTTTATATATTACATAAGAACAACCCTCCCTCCTTCTCTTTCGCCCATTCTTCCCCATCCTGGCTTGTATTTGTGCAGCTCATCCATAGCTGCCAAACCAAGTGGCTCCACTTTATGCAGCTGATGCCCTCACATGCATTTAGACTTCGTTGAAAATACTTTGTGCTGAGTTTTTTTTTCTTTACAAAGAGCACATGTCATTTCCTCGAACACCTGCTTTCTCTACGTTGACTAACAGACTCCACCCTGGGTTGTTTTTTCCCCCCTTGTGTTTGTTGCAATGCTAATTATTGCAGCTGAAGAAATGACTTTGTTTTTGAAATACTGTTACAGTCTCCAGGTGTCTGCTTCCTAAAATGCACATCCTCTGTTGCTTTTGGCTATAATTTGCTTCCATTACTCTTGTGTGAAAACAACAGCTGTTTTCTAAACTCTTCAGCTGTGGATCTTTGACTCAAGAGTTTTCCCGTCTTTTCCTTGTCACCAGAGAAATCCCTCCCTTGAGACATTTAACAGAGATCTAGTAAAAGATAGGAACTGATCTAAAAGCCACATCTGTCAACTTTAACCGAAACATCTGTCCTTGTCCTCTGCAGGCATCGATGGAGAGGAATGGGGCAAATTCCTACACACCAAAAACAAGGTAGGAGAAAAAAATAGGGAATGAAGTATTTTACTGCAAATGTACTGACTAACGCAAAATCTGAATATTTTATAACCTGCATCTGATCACAAAATACCCTAATTCTGTATCCTCTATTGATTTACTGTTGAGAACTACAGTGTTTTGCAGTTATGTCTCCAATAGCAAAAGCTAACCTTACATATAATCTGTAACTCTGTGCAACATCTCACAGTTAAAATATTCACATGACTGTAGGGTAAAGGTCTTCCAAGGTTAATCTGTGTCTCTTGAGCTCCACATAGTTCTTCATGTTTAAACAAAGAAACCATTATGATGTGATGCCTCATGATGATCAACAGGACACCTCAGTAAATGTTTCTTTGTTTGTTTTGTTATTCTTTGTTGTTAGTGTTAATATAGATAGCTAAAAGTAGTAGTAGTTGAAACTACTGCTTACATTGATGCTGCCGACATGTCAGAGCCCCCGCTTTTCACAGTTTAATTGTCATTTCAGATCTACACTGATTTTGAGGAGATCAGGCACGAAATTGAAGCAGAAACTGAAAGAATTTCTGGGAACAACAAAGTAAGATAACAACATATATTATTTAGTGATTATATCCAAGGAGAAAATGGATTATATCAATTGCCATCTTTAAACTTAGCAATATCAGTCTGTAAACTGATGATTTTTTCTGTCCCCAGGGTATTAGTGATGAACCGATTCACTTGAAAATCTTCTCACCACATGTAGTGAACCTCACATTAGTGGATCTTCCTGGCATTACAAAGGTCAGATATTCATCTCTCCTGCTTCCCAATGTTCAAACCTGTTTAAATTATACATGATGCTGCACATTAACTTCATGCAGTGTATCTTTTCAGTTTTCTCAAAAAGGCTTTTAGAAGCTATTAAGAAGTCTTCCATTACATTTATAATGGTCTTGAATATTTTATTTACCTGTAACAG